TGGCGTTATTTCGCTTCCTCTGACGATTGAATCTGGGTCTGAAGAGAGCGAATTAACAAAGAAACATAATTAAATTATATTATTACTTCTGAAGGCATTTAGAGTACATTAATTACGTTGAATCGTATAGTCGTTCAGAAGAGTTGAACTAATCGGCTTAAATTGGAATTCGATAGAGGGCGACACGTTGAAGAGGTTAAATGTTGCAATGATTTAATTATCACTCCGTTGATGATGTGTTACTATTGAGAATATTAACTTTCCAGAGATTCCCAAGATCAATTTATTCTAAATTACTGATTCCAGACAGCTCTTAAAATTTTAAAGCTCTTACACGATTTTTTTTTTCTTTTGTGATCCATCTGAAAGTTTTCTCCCATTGCCTACTTAATTTCTTTTCTTTGCAGTATAACAATTTAACTGCGTTCAAGAGGGCATCAGATGCACTTTCCCTGTTTAGCATGTATCTAGCATATATTTCCCTGACTTTAAAAAAAAAATGAAATGAGAGTGAATTATATTTTTAGCTCACCTGAGCTGAAAGCTCAAGTGAGCTTTTCTGATCACCCAGTGTCCGTCGTCCGTCCGTCCGTCTGTCTGTCCGTCCGTCCGTCCGTCCGTCTGTAAACTTTTCACATTTTCAACTTCTTCTCAAGAACCACTGGGCCAATTTCAACCAAACTTGGTACAAAGCATCCTTGGGTGAAGGGGAATTTAAATTGTTAAAATCAAGGGCCAAGACCCCTTCCAAGGGGAGATAATCAAGAAAATACGAAAATAGGGTGGGGTCATTAAAAAATCTTCTTCTCAAGAACCACTGGGCCAGAAAAGCTGAAATTTATGTGGAAGCATCCTGGGGTAGTGTAGATATTAAATTGTGAAAATCATGACCCCCCGGGGTAGGGCGGGGCCACAATAAGGAATCCAAGTTTTACATAGAAATATATAGAACAAATCTTTAAAAATCTTCTTCTCAAGAACCACTGGGCCAGGAAAGCTGAAACTTATGTGGAAGCATCCTTGGGTAGTGTAGATATTAAATTGTAAAAATCATGAAGGGCGGGGCCACAATAGGGAATCCAAGTTTAACCTAGAAATATATAGAATAAATCTTTAAAAATCTTCTTCTCAAGAACCACTTGGCCAGGAAAGCTGAAACTTATGTGGGAGCATCCTTGGGTAGTGTAGATATTAAATTGTTAAAATCATGACCCCCGGGGGTAGGGCGGGGCCACAATAGGGAATCCAAGTTTAACCTAGAAATATATAGAATAAATCTTTAAAAATCTTCTTCTCAAGAACCACTTGGCCAGGAAAGCTGAAACTTATGTGGGAGCATCCTTGGGTAGTGTAGATATTAAATTTTTAAAATCATGACCCCCGGGGGTAGGGCGGGGCCACAATAGGGAATCCAAATTTTACATAGAAATATATAGAACAAATCTTTAAAAATCTTCCTCTCAAGAACCACTAGGCCAGGAAAGCTGAAACTTATGTGGAAGCATCCTTGGGTAGTGTAGATATTAGATATTAAATTGTTAAAATCATGACCCCCCGGGGTAGGGCGGGGCCACAATAGGGAATCCAAGTTTTACATAGAAATATATAGAACAAATCTTTAAAAATCTTCTTCTCAAGAACCACTGGGCCAGGAAAGCTGAAACTTATGTGGAAGCATCCTTGGGTAGTGTAGATATTAAATTATTAAAATCATGACCCCCAAGGTTAGGGCGGGGCCACAATAGGGAATCCAAGTTTTACATAGAAATATATAGAACAAATCTTTGAAAATCTTCTTCTCAAGAACCACTTTGAAACTTTGTGGGAGCATCCTTGGGTAGTGTAAATATTAAATTGTTAAAATCATGACCCCCGGGGGTAGGGCGGGGCCACAATAGGGAATCCAAGTTTTACATAGAAATATATAGAACAAATCTTTTAAAATCTTCTTTTCAAGAACCACTTGGCCAGGAAAGCTGAAACTTATGTGGAAGCATCCTTGAGTAGTGTAGATTTTTAAATTGTTAAAATCATGACCCTCGGGCATAGGGCGGGGCCACAATGGGGAATCCAAGTTTTACATAGAAATATATATAGAACAAATCTTTTAAAAAGATCTGCATCACCCAAGTTACTCAGGTGAGCGATGTGGCCCATGGGCCTCTTGTTTTCGAATTGACACCACTCTGGAGAATCAATGAATTTTTAAAAAAATAAGTTTGCACATTAATAACCAGTGATAATATATGGAAATTAATAAATTTTTTTTACTTGAAGAGAAAAGTACAGGTATGCTGTCCGTAAAGACCAGAAGTCTTGTTTTAGATATATAGCGGGGAAAAGTTTCTTCAAGTGTCGAAAAGTCATACGTTTTGATGCAATTGATTTGGTTTAAACCAAAGTTCTAGCCTTTGTTACAGTTCGTAGGAAATTATTAAAGGAATCTAATCTAGTATAGATTCAGATTGGAATTTTAGAAATATTTTAAAAGTGACTCTCTCGAAAAATGTCCTCCTTAGAAAAGAAATAATGAGAGTAAGTTTAAATTGTTTTCGCTTCTAAATTATTGGAGACTGGAGGATAGATAGTGTTCATGTAGAATTTGCCTCTAGACCATTAGACACGATAATTTAACATCCATCTTATACTTTTAATCCATTCTGACAAATATGAAGAGGAGATTCGTGACATTTTAAAGTTTTCACGCGAGATCTTCATATTTGACCCATGCATTGCATTATCTTCTACAGAATTCAAAATATTTACGAAATGATTGTGATTCTATACCTTAAAGCAAAAAGATTTGGAACAGAACAAACACGGACCTCCAAAACGTACATCAGAGATGGAATCAGGTGCCATGGAGGAGTGAGCATCCCCTGTCGACTGGTAACACCCTCCGTGTGCTCCTTGTCATGATTGGGTAATAACGGGAAAATCCGTTTACAATTCAGCTTGTAAACAATGGACGTACAATTAGTATGAAAAACGTCATTCAGCATTTGACTCGATGATAAATTTTATTTGCTGACAAGGTCATTGTATCGACCATAGAACATACGAAATGATGACTTTAAACGGGGCTGCTGATTTTTCTTGTTTTATCTTATTTTTTTATTTCTTTTTTGCTAATAATTTTCCTAGATTTAGTAATTTTACATACGTAGAGCATGCTCTTGCGTGTCTAATCAACTAAGAGATATACACCACGTATGCAGGTGATGAAGGTATATTGCTGCATAAGTAAGGGAAGTTGACAATTTTAAAGTTAAAGTCATCATGTTTAACATAAAACTTGCATGGTTGTTAGATTACCATTAACGTCTTTTTCAAGTAAAATATCCAAATATGAAACAGATGTGTTAGACTCTGTGGTATCATTTATCTCAAGCTCACCGGGATATATCGTATCGACATAAGCAAGGAAATAACCATTGTTAATTAACAATGCGTCGTCGATATATCTAAATGTCGAGTTTAAAGGTCACAGAAAGTGTTTTCTTCTTCTCACGTATAAGATATTGGACAAATTATGTTTCATATGAATACAAAAATACATGTAGGTCTGCTTATAACGGGGAGCAATTGGTACCATTGATTGTTGGAAAACCAGGTCTCCAAAAACCACATAGATATTTCAATCAGAAACCCAAGCATTTTTTAATGTTAACTTCAGTTTATTGTGGGGATAATCAGAACGTTTTTTAACAAAATAATTTTGCAAATGACCAATGACTACGTAAGTAAGGAAACGAGCTCCATTTTATTTTTTATAAAAAAGCAGCTGTAATGAAATCAAAAAGCCTGGCCTTTAATTTATCGTAGGAAATCGAAAAAACTTGAATTTGAGAGAATTTACTCATCTTTTTTTATCTTGATGAGTGTAAAAAGAAAAAAAATACTGAACAAATTAAAGCGCCCGTGTTCTAAAACGTGAATTAACATCAATTCTATAGGCAAATATAATACATGTAATTTGAATATGACAATATTTTTATTAAAAAAACAAATAAACAATGATTTTGTAAATATTGCAGTTTTTGCAATACTCTAGCGTTTTGTATGTAAGCAATATTTAATTGTTTTTAAAACGTATCAAATCTGAAGCTATCTACCAAAGAAAATCGCAACTTCAGAGATTTTAGGGCTTGATTTACTCTACAGTTGGCTTGGCTTCTAGCTGTCTGTTTAGTCTCGACTTTCTAAGATTGCAGAAATTGTGCAAAAACAATCTTCGAAAAAGTTTCTGCCATTGTAGAATTTTATTTTTGATCTATAAAACTTGTAAGCTTTGGAAGGTGAGCTCATGAAAGGTAAGTACGTATTGCAGCTTTGTAGAGAACTGGAAGGTATAATGATGATTGAAGGTACATGTAGTTCTTTGGCTGCTTCCATTTTAAATGGTAATTTATATCGGAAAAAGAATATTAAGTACCTAATCAATTGGCCTGCAGAATTTTATTAGGTGAAAATGCAGACAATTAATTCAGATGTTTAAAAAAAATCTGAACCGAAGATAGATGCCCATTTGGTATTTTAAAAAGAAACTGGAAACACCCCCGCCTAATCCAATTTAATTTAAGCTCCTCGTCGATAAATCTATACCATGATGAAGCAGGTTTCTGAATCGAATTCTATTTTCAGCTGTCATAAAACGTATAGCTATTTAGAGTGATTTAATGGTAGTCCATGTTATAAAAAAGGGTGTCTTGAAGGCCAACGGATACAGTACTTTATTTATTTGGGTTTCTATCGGTAGGGCATTTGGAAATGTGATAGTTTCCGAACCTCTCCGCATTACGTCATAAACAATATCCTTTGTAAACTTCAAAATAGCATATCAAAAGTCAGTTGGTAAGACATTAACTTGATTTTTTAAGACCTAGTTTAAATTTCTTTAGCGTCTTCACTTAAGCACAATTTTGTATACAGCCTCTGAAGCAATTACGTTGGTTTTAATTAGGTTTGACGTCTGTTGATTCGGTTATTATCTTTTTCAGCAGACGGCACCAGCAGAATCGCTCTCCAGTCATGATCGACACAAAACCAGGATGAGTCTACGTCGAGACCGGTCCAAACACAGGAATAGCTGCCTTCCGGAACAAGGTAAGAATGGGGCGCGGATCTAATAAGGGGAGATACATGGCTTGAATTTACATTTATATGGTATACTCAGTAATTCACGGACGGTATTAAATAGGAATAGAAAATTGTCGATTTGAAGTACTGAAATGTTTAGAACTAATATTGGTTTTTTTTCTATATGAGGCTCCCTTTGGTGCTTCCAAACTAGATACAATTGGTTTCTTTTGAATTCCATTCATTTAGATATCATAAGAAGAGAGAAACACATGTTTCACATTTATATTTACTAAGAGTACGAAAGCACAGAAACTGTATTTTTTCCAGTAAACAATTCTGAAATTCATATTTGAATACATTCTTTTATACACACTGTACAAAAAGGAATAAAAAAAGAATTCAATTTAAAACTTAAATAGAAATTTCAGGAACGAATCCTATTTCAAGACAAACGTACAGGGCAATGTTTGAAAAAAAGTCAGATTTTTTAAAATAAATTGTCTCATTCCCTTCACTTCTCATCCAGAACAACGAGAGATTCTGTTGGAAATTCCCGGCATTGCAGCTTTGTATTAAAGGTAATAGGGATACCCGTTTGTCTTTGATTCTAACTTCTCCTCCTGTTTTCGATCAATATGGCCGTGTTGGACATACTGTGACACAGTAGCAGTAAATCACCTGAGGCATTGTTTCAGAAATTAACATTCAAATTGCGCTTGTGTTCGGAATGTAGAGTGGTTGAGTGAAATTACTTCACTGCCAGCATCCTCAATTGTATATGCTTAGAAATCGGGTCAGAAACCTGTAGCTGTTTTCATGTAAACTTTTCGTGTAACAGTTTATTTTTTTAGTAAAGAACATCCCACCGGAAGTCGTCATGTTACATCCTTTTATAAGTATCGGCATAATCTCGTTAGCACCTCGTTTTACCTTTACGATGTCTCGACGTTATTTTTTTCTCTTTGAATTTTACATCAAGAAAATTTATATACTTTGTTTCAGTTTCATTCAAAGAGTCAAGATGTTAAATGCGTTCGGTAAACTATTTCGAGATCAGAAAAAAAATGTGAGTCCTCTCTCTTTCTCTCTCATGTGCGCACGCGCGGCGCGCTCCGCAATGTTCAAGATTTTTCTGGTGAGAGTAGTTAGAGTTAATTGACTTTCAAGCGCCAAGTCCGCAGGTTACTACGCGGCTGTAAATATTCCACTCTTTATATATTTAAAATATTGCTGTCACTGCCAGATACTTTGCTTCAAGACGTCAGCTTATCGAATCCTTCTTCAGAAACTACTGCTGCATGTTGTGTCGTAAATTATCAAGCTTTGTAAAAAAAAAAAATAAATAAAAATGTAATATGATGTAAGAGAAGCATTTTCAATAGTTTATTGAATGAATTTTTAAACTGTATTGAATAATTGATTTTTTATTGATAAAAAAGTATCCCAAGACAGTTTGCATTTCCCCCTCTCATTTAATTTTGTTCAAACTCCAATAAAAAATCATTTTGTCGAGGCATTGTACTTTACCCGGATATCAAAGTGATATAGTACTGAACCCGGATGTTTGATTATCGGGTCTTGATCAGTAGTCGCAAGGACGTAGGTCAAATAGCTAATTTATTGCTTTGGTGACAATGGAAGTTTTTAAGATAGTTTTTTGCTCTTCATTAGTAAAACTAAATAAATTATAATTGTCAGTAGAGCGTATTTATCACAATAAAGTTACAGTAAGTGTTGATGAATCTTTTTTTAAAAAAATCCTGTAGATCTAATAATTTTGTGACTTGTCAAGGATGACAACAGCAGACAATGGAATAATATTGGGCACGTGATGCTGAGCAAGAAAAAAACAAACATTTTAATGACGTGAATCGGTCAATGTAAGCATCAAAACAGCAGCTATATCAAAATTAAGCAGAATACGATCTCTTAATTGAAAGGTTTTGCTGTAACCCTATTTTTTGCAGTATATTCTGTGGAGGTGAGAAAAAGTCATTGGGATTACAATGGATTTCTTGATACTCCATCAAATCTCTGTAATTGTAATTTCAAGAATCGGTGTCGGTAATATACGGAAGTCAATCTCCAACCGGAAATAAATGGCCGTGCGCGAACTTTTATCATTATCAGTTATCAAAGCATCCATAGGTCAGCAACCTCTGATTGAGAACCAAACAAATTTGGCTAGTTCCCTTCCCTTTGTCACTAAATACAAAAAATATTGAACTAACAAATACTGTCGTAGAAAAGGTCATCGGAACGAGTCAGATAGAGTTGATTTGATTGAAATATGGTCCTTAAGGAGCTAGAAACAATCTTTAAAATGCCCGTGGGCCAAAATTTAAAATACATTAAAAGTAATCGATAATGTATCGAACATAATTGCGTGCTGCAAAGTATTTTATGTTGCACTTGTGATACATAAAACTGATAGATTATCCCAGAAAACCTGTGTGATCTTCAGTTAAATGGAATTTTAACTGTTCAGAAATGTGTTGTTTTCTACTAGCACCTCCTAGCTTGGACAAAGTACCTAAGCCGCTGTCGATTAGTTAATGATTTTGCACTATGCTGTTAATTCAGCATTTTATTCGTAAAAGAAGTTTAGAGTACATGCAGTTCACTTGCCTCTGTCGAAAAATCTTTTTCATTACGTCATCGATCACCGTCAGCTGTTTTCATTTTTTGTGAAGAACGTAAATTATGGATGGATTTCCTTTCTTCTCATTAATTTTTCTTCAGCAAATATTTCAATGAAAATCGCCTGTTTTTCGATAAATACATGTAGTTTATTGTATTTTATTGGATGTGAACAGACATGATATAATCATGTCTTGTGTTTATTTGATACATGGATTTTGAGGTACCAACTACAGTCTCTGAATAGAGAACCCCTTCATTCGGCTTAATACTTCGCCACGCTTGTACAATGTATTACAAACTAACAATCTATACTGCATTTACATACAGACCTTTTATACAGTCATTTTTACGTGACTTTTTGAAAAATACGGAAATGAAGCATAACCGCCCATCATTGCACGTCTAAAAATAGAGAATGCAACTTAATTTTTCTGAGACTATTTAAGTTCTTTTTTATGATTAGATTTTTAAAATATTTTTTTAACTAGAGATAAAAAATATTACTTGCTCAATTCTAACCACTTTCAATTCAATCAACTTTCATGAAAATGATTTTAATTAGATAATTGATATAGGTATGATTAAGAAATCCTTCTTTTTCTAATTTATAATAATGGCGTGTAATTCAATTCACTCATTGCTACTTACTCACTTTATGTATCCTTTCTGTCTTCGTCAGACCTCCTGTGTCGTGTGTTAACATTTGTAGTTTCTTCTCTTGAACTCTCATCTCATGAACTCTTTTCAGTGTTGTTTTATATTCAGGTGACCGTCAATGTCCTTGGGCCTTTTGTTATATATATATATATATATATATATATATTATGTTAGAATTCTCTTCAACAAAAATGTATTTGTTTAAAATTAATGAAATTTTTACAGAATCAAGAAGACAACACCACAAAGATTTGGCCGTTTTATATTAGAGGAAAGGTCAGGTCAAGATCATTGCCTTTTCCCTGGACATTAAGAATAAAATAAAATAAATTACTGCATCAAATCATGCGATCTCTCCTTCTATTTAAGATGATTAATTTTTTTTTTCTTTTTGCTTAAAAAGATATAATCATATAGGATCCATAAGATGATAACATATTTTTGGCTCATATCTGTACTTAGATTGGAAGCTTACATAATTGTTGTTTATTTAGAAAATCATATTAATTTGATCATATAAAACTTTAGTGCCTTATTATTGATTGAACTAACATTTGAAAAAAATTCTTCTTCAGGTCTTTGATTGTGTAAAAATTATAACAAAATTCATTGTTCTTAATAATTTTGAGAATCAGAAAAGAAGATATTTTCATACGCCACCATTCCGCAAAAATATAGTCCCTGCAAGATTCCAAACTCAGATTACCATATCTATTTAAATTAGTACAATTCTGGTGAGAAAAGAAAAACATGTTGCTTTAAATTTCTTACATTTAAATATATAAGAGATACAAGCAAATATACTGAATATTTCATCTAGTCAGAAACCAGAGAAGAATCCTACCTTAAGTGTTTGTTACTCTGAGTTGCGTACGCTTTTATTTAAAAAAAAAAAGAATTGATCTATTTGCTCCTCATAGCTTGTGTACCTTTGTACAGAAACATTGTGTATTGAGATTATCTTCTCTCTCTCTCTCTCTCTCTCTCTCTCTCTCTCTCTCTCTCTCTCTCTCTCTGACGGCGATAAGTGATTAGTTTATATAAATGATTCCAAGATTCTAGAGTGATGACGTAACGAAATATTTCATCAAGAAATAGTTTAAAGATAGAATAATGCTTAGAATGGGTGAATCAGTTCCTTCCGTCTGGACCTAAACATCCATTCTATGCCAAAATGCATTGTAAGAAATCGGTCAGAAAAAAAATATTAAACCGTACTCATACTATGTTACCGATATCGTTGAATTTAACAAATCGGTGAGCAGACAACAAAGGTGATTTTTGTCTGATTTGTTTCATTGATTCAATTGCAAATTACGCAATTAGCGATTTTGTGAAAAAATATACACAGCGCTGTTTTGCCAGAAACAAACCACTGTAGAATACCGTATGACCTGTTCATTGATTACATTGAACCAGGTGTTTTAAAATTAAGAGAAAGAATTAGGTAAAGGGCAGACAGTTGGTCTTAAATTTTGTAATTTTATGCATGTCAATTGAACTTTTTAATTATTACTAGATAAACATTTGTTTGGTTTGGTATGGTTTAACATTTTTAGAAAATACTGTATTTGAATGTTTGAATCAAAATAAATAAAAATTATGTCCTTTGATGTCCTGACTTCAGGCAGAATAATTTAATTTTGGCAGTAACGCGTCATTTCATTGGATAAAAAATTAATCTAAATTGTATAACCTGGGTTGCCTTCGTCACAATGACTTAC